ATTCAGATGTCCCAATCACTTCCATGGCCACAGGTGTATAACATCCAAGCATCTAGGCACACAGAGTGTTTCTACAAACATTTTCAACAGCTGACATTTGCTCTCAGGAGCTCAGTGAATTCCAGCATGGTACCATGACAGGATGCCACCTGTGGAACTGGAAAGTCCAGTTGTGCAATTTTCTCACTACTAATTATTCCACCATCCATTATTACTGTTATTATAACAAGGTGGAAGTGAATGGGAATGACAGCAACTCAGTTATGAAGCGATACACCAAGTAAAATCACAGAGTGGGGTTAAGAGATACTGATGTGCAGAGATGTCGCAAACTTTCTGCACAATGAGTCACTACAGACCTCCAAACTTCATGTGGCCATCATATTACCCCAAGAAACAGTGTGTAAAAAGCTTCATGTAATGACTTTCCGTGGCAGAGCAGCTGCATCCAAGACTTACATCACCAAACACAATGCAAAGTGTCAGATAGTGTAAAGCACGCCGACACTGGAATATAGAGCAGTAGACATGTGTTCTCTGGAGTGACAAATGCTTCTCCATCTGGCAATCCGATGGATGAGTCTGAGCTCGGTGGTTGCCAGGAGAACGGTACTTGTCTGACTTTATTGTGCCAGTTGCAAAGTTTGGTGGACGGGGTTGTTGGGCTGACGTTTTAGCTCCAGTGAAAGGAACTATTAATGCTTCAGCATATCAAGACATTTTGGACAATTTTATGCTCCCAACTTTATGTGAACAGTTTGGGGATGGCCTCTTCCTGTTCCAACATTGCTGTGCGCCAGTGCACAAAGCAAGGGCCGTAAAGGCATGGATGAATGAGTTTGGTGCGGAAGAATCTGACTTCAGCACCTTTGAGATGTGTTAAAGGGCCTAAGAGACTGTCACCCAGGTTTTCTCATCCAACATCAGGGCTCACAAATGCACGTCTGGATGAATGGTCAAAAATTCCCATAAACACACTCCTAAACCTTGTGGAAAGCCTTCCGAGAAGAGTTGAAGCTGTTATAGCTGCAAAGGGTGAGCCGACATCAAATTAAACCCTATGGATTAATTTGATGTCAATTGTGTTAAGGCTGACTAGTGAGTACTTTTGGCAGTACAGTGTATTACTCAGTGACACTAAAATTTACTAAACAAATATAGCATTTTAAATGTATTTTTGAAGAAATGTACAATACTGTAAAAACTCAAATGTGTTTTTTCCAGCACTTTGTTACAGCGTGACTTCACACAGTTCCTGTAGTTTAATGTCACGTCTAAATTTGATCCCTCACAGCTTGTAGTCTCTTATTTTAGTACAGATGGCAAAATCTGAATTACATGCTGCGGTTTCAGACCAGGCAGGATACTATTTGTCTACATTAATATTTTATCTGTTGCCGGAGGGGTTGCAGTAAACATGTCCTGTCTCCTTCTATATTGCTCTTATAATCCACCACATGAAATCAAGCTTAGCTCATGGGGAAGTGTGTTAGCATATTTGTCTGTTCATAGCAGTCAGAACATGTGAATATTTCAGTTCATTTGTGTCTTTATCACTTTTTATCACCAAATTTATCTGGACATTTGATTGGAAATGATCCTGAAGTGTAAGGATAAGGAAGTTTGTAAACTACAGCATACAGTCATTGCAGCCGGTGTTATCCTTTTAACGTTGGTAATAGATTGGTCATCATCCAATAGTCAAGGTGTCTGTATGCCTATAGGTACCAGGGCAGAAGAATTCGGATGGTTTTCAGTTGTTGAGTCTGTCTGTTTGTGTGTCTCATCATGGCAAAATCTGATCTTTGAGACAGCTACTCTAGTGGGAACTATTAGAAAGGCAGCTTTGAGAGCACTGGAAGAATGTTATATGTCTGTTTGTCTGGATGACAGTGAAATAATTTTCTCAGAATGATTGCAGCATTTGAAGATATTTGACAGGATACGGGTGGATAAATGACATTAAAATCAAGGTCGAATTTAGAGGGTTAGGGTTAGGCAACCAGTGCTTTCAGTGTTCTCTGTTCCCATCTAGTCAATTTCTTTTTAAATTTTTAATGTATTTTTACTATTGTATTTTGAAGTACCTTTATCTGGTGAAGCATATACCAGCCTCATATACCAGTGGCAAGCACTGTACTTGTCTGTAAACTGAACAGAGGGATTGCATATGTGGAGCTCTGCACAAAGACTCGGTGAGTGGCAGGAGAGAGGGAGAAACTGGAAAATGTATTTTATGTACTTTACGCCATGAAGCACCAAACGGTTAACCACATATTGGTATCTATGATCTAGATCACCGTAAACTATATTTTTTAACTTAAGTGGACAAATATCATCAGAGAACTAAATTTTGTATCTTTATCCCTACATTTCTTTCTAGGTTTGCTTTTACAAGGTTTTGATATTGCATATTATTAAAAGTAAACTAATAAAATGCATTAGCTACCTTAACAACTGCAACATTTGTATTTAAACACACAAAGAAACACAGACAGTCATGTTTGGGCGGCTTCAACTTAGGCCTGGCAGGACACTAGGCTTGTAATACACTGATGGAGATCCAAGTGACAAAAGGCAATGTAAAAACTAACCTCTAATCATTACAGGTTAAACAGGATGGAAAATTTGCAAAAACAAATATACATTCAATAGCCACTTTATTGATTTCTAATGTAAATATGCATTTAGGCACATTGACATTGTCAAAACGACCTGCTGAAGTTTAAACATCACATTGGGGTATAAAGGTTGTTGGAGTGACTTTGAATGTCGCATAGTTGTTGTTGCCACACGGGGTATTCTGAATATTTCAAAAACTGATAATCTACTGGCATTTTACCACACAACCATCTCTGGATTGCAAAAAAGGAGATCATATCCAGTGAGTGGCAGTTCCTTTGCTATTGCAGAGATAAGAGGAGAATGGCCAGACTGCTTTGGACTGACAGAAAGACAGTAAGCAGAAAATCATCTTTTAATGCACAACCTTCAAGCCTTGAAGGTGATGCACTACAGAAACAGAAGGCGACACCAGGTCCCTTTCCTGTCAGCTGCAATAGTAAAATAAGACTACAATGTCATGTTATACTGCAGCTGACAAGTTTGCACAGTAGAAGATTGGACGCATGTTGCCTGTTCTGCTGCAACATTTTTATGGGTAGCATCAGAATTTGACATAAGCAACATGAAAGTATGGGTCCATTCTGGCTTGTATAAACAGTTCAGGCTGGTGGTGTAAAGGTCTGGGGTATATTTTCCCAACACCCTTTGGGCCTCAGGTAACAACTGAGCATCATTTAAAAACCACAGCCTACCTTAGTATTGTTGCTGACCATGTCCATCCCTTTAAGACCGATGCCTCCTCTATAAGGATAACACTCCATTTCACAAAGCTCAAATCATCTCAAAGTGAATTCTTGAACATGGCAGTAAGTTTCCTGTACTCCACTGGCCTCCACATTCTCCAGATATCAATCTGATAGAACATGTTTGGGATGTAATGGAATGGGAGATTCCCATCAGGGATGTGCAGCTGACAAATCTAAAGCAACTGTGTGACAATGTCATTACGGACCAAAATCTCTGAGTAACATCTCCAGCATCTCGTTGAATCTGTGCCACATAGAACTAAGGTAGGTGTGAAGTCACAATGGGAGATCAAACCAGTAGTAGCAAGATCTATCTATGAATGAAGTGGCTGGTGGGTATAATTCTCTATTTAGAATAAAAGCTGTTTGTAAAGCTCTGTATACATTATTTTTCATATTTTAGTTCGTACCATTCCACTTATGTTCACAAACAGGCTGTGCTTGAAAGGAGAAAGACATAAAACGAACAGCCAAACCCACTGTTTAC